GGGCGCGCAGGGCGCACGGCCGGGGGCGCACGGCGCGGCGCCGGCCCATGAGGCTTCCCGGCACGGGCCGACCATGGGGGGCAGCCTGCGGGTGGCAGTTCTGGGAGCCCCAGGCGTGGGCAAGACGGCCATCATCCGCCAGTTCTTGTTCGGCGACTACCCCGAGCGCCACCGGCCTACCGACGGGCCGCGCCTCTACCGTCCCGCTGTGCTGCTCGACGGCGCGGTCTATGACCTGAGCATCCGCGACGGCGACGTCGATGGCCCTGGCCCTGGCCCGAGCCCCGGGGGGCTAGAGGTAGCGGCTCGAGGGGCGGGCAGGGGCGTGTGACAGTGTGAGGTGTGTGTGTACTCGGTGCACACGTGCGCGTCCGCGTGGACAACCCCTGGGCGCCTCACTGCTGTGTTCAGGGATTGAAGGATGAATGCTTGTCCTGTTACACCCCTCCCCGCGGGCCTGGAAGCGCCTAAGCCCAGGCCCTGGGCCGGGCGATTTTGCAAAGTGGCTTTTCTTTCTCTCGTGGTTGCCTCTATGTCTGCCTCCGCTGGTGAGTCTGGATCAGTGCGTGGTGGAGCATGGCTGTGCCTCCTTTAGGGTGCGGCATTGTGTCTGGGGCCGTCAGCAGAGCCGCAGTGGGAGAGACTGGGGCCAGGCACAGAGGTGAACTTTCGGGGGCTGGAGTGTCATTATCTGCCCCCTCATTCTTGTGACTTGGAGCAAAGATTCGTTTAGTAATTTGTGCAAAGTCCAGGACACACCTCCTCCAAGAAGTGAAGAGGAAAGAGCAAGCAGGATTAAGCAGAGCTTCCTGCAGGGGTTGGTATTCCAGGTGGAAAGACCAGCAGGTGCTTAGGCCAGAGGCTCAAACGGGTACAGCTGCCGACAGTCAGTGGTCTCTCGGGGCTTGGTGGAACACGGGGCTGGGGCCCTGTGAGGGCGTCTGGGAGCAGAGTGGCTAGACCCAAGTTGAGCTAGGAAAAGCTGGAATGAGGAAGGGGAAGATGGGGGTGGGAGGAGAGACCGAGGGTGAAGGAGGACTAAAGGCTGACAGGCTCTCGGCACAATTTGGAAATGTTTATCCTGGCGGCCATGAGGACGGTAGGGCCCAGGTAGCGCCCAGGGGGAGGGGGCATAAAGATAGGGAAGGGGATGACGGAGGCCTGAGGATAAGCTGTAGGTTTAGTGTCAAGGCCTATGCAGAAGGTTAGGGAATTGGAGGGTGGGAAAGAAGCTCCCGCAAACCTTGGCCTCCCACCCCTAGGAATGGCCAGACCCTAAGAACTGGAGCTTGCAGGACACCGACGCCTTCGTGCTTGTCTACGACATCTGTAGCCCGGACAGTTTCGACTACGTGAAAGCCCTGCGGCAGCGCATCGCGGAGACCAGGTGGGAGCGCGGCGGGAGGTGGTGGTGGGGAGTTGTTGATGGTCCGGTGAGTAGGTTCTCTCACCGTCTTGGGCCTTCCTCATCAGGCTTTTGTCCATGGGAAGGTCTCCAGCTCTATGCAGTCTTTGGCCCACACGGGCTTGGTGTCTGCTGGGGGTCTATGGCCATACGAGGGGATGCACCACTGTGAGGATCCTCTGGCCACGGGGTCCCCACAGCGTCTCTCATCCCCATCCCGCTCCTTAGGCCTGCGGGCGCGCCCGAGGCTCCCATCCTCGTGGTAGGGAACAAGCGGGACCGGCAGCGGCTGCGCTTCGGACCGCGGCGCGCGCTGGCCGCCCTGGTGCGCAGAGGCTGGCGCTGCGGCTACCTCGAGTGCTCCGCTAAGTACAACTGGCACGTGCTGCGTCTCTTCCGCGAGCTCCTGCGCTGCGCTCTGGTGCGCGCGCGCCCTGCGCACCCGGCCTTGCGCCTGCAGGGGGCGCTGCATCCAGCGCGCTGCAGCCTCATGTGACCGAATTGGACGCCGCCGCCGATGGGTCTATTTGTAACAGCCGGTATCCGGATTGGGCGGGACTGCGCAACTTCAGTCGGATTGGACAGGGCAGAGTCCCCCATGATTGGATGGGGAAAGCTACCACCCCAGTCTCCTGGGCAACAAGCCTCTCTTGGAACCTCATTGCACCCAGCCAGGTCCCAAGCCCCACTGGACAGATCAGTGCTTTCTGGGATCTTACTGGGTCACAAACCCAGTGCATAGAAAGGCGATGAACCCGATTGGGAGCTCTCGCACAGCTCCTGGAGTTTCACTCTACAAACTCTTAAAGTTACACCTCTGGTGAGGTAATAAAAGGGAAAACAATTCAAGTGCACCTGGGATTTCTGGGATGGGCGGGATAGAGCCTTAAGTCTAGAGGTCAGAGCTGCCAGGCTTGGTCCATTGGCAGTTAACTCCAGAATGCCAACAGGTAATGAGGGCCCTCAGAAGGGTGTGGTGGCCCCAAAGCTAAGTTCCCAAGAAACAGACAGGAGGTTGGAGTAAAACTTTACTGTCAGAGGCTCTGCTGGGCCACAGGTCCTCAGGACACCAGGCTGGCCTGGCCTCCTCTAAGGCATTCAATAATATTAGTAATTAAATAGCAATGCTCATCCCCAAACCGGAATGTACAACAGAGGTCCCATTGTGCCATGTGGTCCCGAGGGGTCTGGTCCCATGAGGTCTGGTGCTAAAGAGGCGGAGGGGGCTCCCTGATGCAGAGGGGGTTAAGGCCACAAAGGAAGAGAAGGAACAGGGTCTGGGGATAGCTGGGCTGGCCCATCACATCCAGGAATCTGGCTCGGCCCTTGGGGTAACTGAGTGCAGGGCAGGCCAGGTCCTGGGCTCTGTGGGTCCAGATGGGCGGCGGGGGCCCCGCGGCGTGGGGATGCGTGAAGGTTTACGGTCTGGCTGTGTGTCCATCCGACCCCGTGCCCAGGTCTGCGAGGGTTCTGGGCCAGCCAGGGGGTTCCCAGATGTATCTGGTGGCCCCGCCATACCAGGGCAGGGGCTTCCTTCATCGGAAGAGCTGGACAGAGCATGGCTGCGGGGCCCGGGCAGCCCATTGGCTGTTCGGCCAGAGTCCCCAGGTGGGCCACATTTGCCACCCAGGATGCTGAGGGAGGAAGAGGAGGAACTGGAGGAACAGTAGGCTGAGTCGGGAGCTGGAGGGTCTGGGGCCCGGATTGGGTCAGGGGCTGGTCCAGTGGGGATCTCACTAGCAGCAGCCTCAAGGGCACGGGCATTGGCCAGGAACTCCTCTTCCAGGCGCCGGAACAATTGCTGCTCCTGCTGCGGGTCAAGCTGCAGGGGTGTGCGGAAGACACTGGCCGGCGTGGTGCCCAGCTCTGGGCTGGGGCTGGAGACCAGGGGAGGCCGGGGTGCCGCAGGGCTGCGGGCACGGGGTGTCTGGGGGGTGCTCCTGCCTGAGCCTGTGCTGCCCCTGCCCCGTGGTACCCACGAGTGCTGCCCATTGCGGTCCCTGCGCACCAGCAGTACTGCCTGCTCCTCACGGCTCTGGCTCCGGGCCCGCCGGGCAGGGCTGGGGGCGAACAGCTGGGCTCCCCTGCCTCCTGGGGCCCCCCGGGGCCGACCCCGATCCAGCTGTTCTCGGGACTGGCTGCGTGGGGCAGGGGGCCGTCTCGGGGAGGCTGGGGTGCCTGTGGTCAGCCGCCGGCTGGGCCGCTCCCTCCTGGGGCCTGTGCCTGTGTCGTCACTGCGGGAACCAAGGGGGCCACTCTGGGCTGAGGAGGCTGAGGAGTCACTGTCCCCGGACTGGCGGCGAGAGCGGGGATGGGGGGGCAGCTGATCCCGGGGCCTGGGGCAGGGGAACAAAAGAGAGATGGGGCATCATGGAAGGGTAGGGAGAAGAGGAGCAGGATGTGGGACTGTCAGAGGCATCTGTCCATCCTGGGGACTTGCAGGGAGAAGTGACAGACTCTGCAGCAGCAGCTTCCTGCAGCCTCCTGGGCCCTAGACTCATCCTCCCCAGACCTCCAGTTCCCCAGGGCGTGCCAGAGGAAAACCGGCCTTAGACTGGCAGCTGCCCAACCCCCAGGCCCTTGGGCCCGCCCCAGCTGTGTTGTTGGTTTGGTTGGGTTTCCATGGAGATGGGAAGCCAGGCCAGCCCCCACCCACGGGAACTTTTCCCAGGGTGTGAGTCACTCCAGGAGCACAGGCAACTATGTCATCCAGGCCAGGGCTGACATCCCCCACCCTTACCCTCTAGAACCCTCACCCCCACGTTCTCCTGCATCTCACCTGAGTGGGGTCTCAGGACCCTCCTTTGTGTTGCGTAAGCTAATGGGAGTCACCTCAGGCCGGGAGCCCCTGCGCTCACTCCCTGGGACTGGGCTACCAGGACGGGGGCTGGGGATGGGCGACACCCTCTGAGGGGAGAAGGTGCGGGCCCTTGGCTGGGGCGGGCGGTGGGCTGTGGAGAGAGAGGACAGACGCCATGTGGGGGAGGAAGCCACAGGGAGGAGCCCCCTGCCCATCTGCCTCTGCCCAGGCACTGACCAGCAGAGGAGCAGCGGCAAGGGTCATGCTTGTCCAGGTAGTGCTCCAGCGTGTCCCAGCCGCCACCCACGCGCACCATCACGTGGCTCCTCAGTACCTGTGGGAGCCAGGCATGGGTAGGTCACAACTGTGTCCCATGGGTCTAGCAGCCTGCTCTCTTGGCTGCTGCCTGCTGGGGTGGCCCCAGACTTACCCGCACAAAGATGAGCAGGCTGGAGTCTCCCACACGGTACTTGCCCTCTGAGACCTTGATCATGGGGAACTGGTCTGGGCAGGTGCAGCGGCCCAGGATCTCCCTCACCTGTGAACAAAGGGAGGTTGGAGATCAGGGATCAAGTCCCTCCTCCTGGGGCTTAATGTCAGCAGTTCCAGGGTCGGAAGGAAGTAAGTCCTTCCGGGGAATGGGGGATGGAGAGTGTCTTGCCCCAGACGTGGGTGTAGCCTCCACAGGTGACCTTCCACCGGTTCTCCTTGGCTGTGAGGGCCCAGGGAATTGACAGGACAAGATGATAGGCTGTGGTCAGGCCAGGCCTGGAACCCTGATGAGGAACACCCGGTAGCCCCTTAGCCTGGGGGAGCCCTGGAGCTCGTGCTCACCCCCCTTTCACCCACTTTGCAGACAAGGAGGCCAGGCCTTAGGAGGAGGCAGGTCACGGGACACAAGTACAGGGCGCCATGCCCCTGGCTGGGCATCAATGTGGGGGGGTACCAGACACGTGGGACACACACCAACATGCACACTCAGGCCACCGCCTGTAAGCACCCAACTGCACATAACCCCCCCCCCCCCCCCCCCCCCGCCCCCC